ATAGTAAACTAAAATTACTGAAGTCACTGACAAGCAGGTTAAATAAAAGGAATAGAGACACATAAAACCCCATCAAATGGAAAGTCAGGTGTGGTGACAGATGCCTATAACCCTGAGTCCAGGAGTTCAAGACCAGCCTAGGTAACACAGTAAGATCTCTTAAAAAGAAATAAGAGGAAAAAAACAATAACAGAATGATAAAATTAACCCAACATGGCGGGGTGTGCTTGCTCACGCCTGTAATCCCAGCATTTTCGGAGGCAGAGGTAGGCCGATCACCTGAGGTCAGAAGTTGGAGACCAGCCTGGCCAACACGGTGAAATGTGTCTCCACCAAAAATACAAAAAAATTAGCTAGGCGTGGTGGCGTGCACCTGTAAACCCAGATACTCAGGATGCTGAGGCAGGAGAATCACTGAACCTGGAAGGCAGAGGTTGCAGTGAACCCAGATCATGCCACTGCACTCCAGCCTGGGTGACAGAGCGAGACTCTGTCTTAAAAAAAAAAAAATTGACCCAAAAATATCAATGATTACATTAAAGTGACTGCATATTCTATGTTTAAAAAAAAAAAAACCATAACTGTTAAGTTGAACTTGATCAAAATTTAAAACCATCTGTCAGATACTGTTTCTGACAGAATCTGTTTCTGACAGATGGTTTTAAATTATGATCAAGTTCAACTTAACAGTTACGGTTTAGGTTGAACTTGAGCAAAAAAAAATTAAATTAAAAAAATATTAAAAACTTCTCTTCAAAAGATAGCGTTACCAAAATGGAAAGGCAAGCTACAGAGAGGGAAAATATTTGAAATACATATATCTGAAAAAGGACTTGTACTCTTGACCATATGAAGAATTCCTATATTCAGTCACACAAAGATAAACAACATGGCAAGAGATTTGAATAACACTTTATCCAAGATTATACAGAGATGGAAAACAACCACTTGAAAAGATGCTCAACATCATTTGCCATTTGAGGAAATGCAAAGTAAAGCCACAATAAAATACCACTACACACCTTCTGAAATGGCTAAAATTAAAAACTGAACATCCCAAGCATTAACAAAGATATGCAGGAAGTATAATTCTTTTTTTCTTTTTGAGATGGAGTCTCACTCCATTGCTCAGGCTGGAGTGCAGTGGCACAATCTCGGCTAACTGCAACCTTTGCCTCCTGGGTTCAAGCGATTCTTCTGCCTCAGCCTCACTAGTAGCTGGGACTACAGGTGCGCACAACCACCCCTAGCCAATATTTGTATTTTTAGTAGCAACAGGGTTTCGCCATCTTGGCCAGGCTGGTCTTGAACTCCTGACCTTGTGATCTGCCCACACAGATGGAGTACAATGGCGCGACCTCGGCTCACTGCAACCTCTGCCTCCTGGATTCAGGCAATTCTCCCATCTCAGCCTCCTGAGTAGCTGGGATTACAGGCATGCACCACTGTGCCCAGCTAATTTTTTGTATTTTTAGTAGAGACGGGGTTTCACCATGTTGACCAGGATGGTCTTGATCTCTTGACCTCGAGAGATCACCCACCTTGATCACCACCACACTGAGGCGGGTGGACCTTGATCCACCCGCCTTGGCCTCCCAAAGTGCTGGGATTACAGGTTTGAGCCACCGCGCCCAGCCATTTTTCAAATTTATTTTTATTTTTATTAGAGACAGGGTCTTGCTATGTTGCCCAGGCTGGAGTGCAGTGGCTATTCACAGGCGCAATACCATTACTGATCAGCACAGGAGTTTTGACCTGCTCCATTTCCGACTTGGGTTGGTTCACCCCCACGTAGGCAACTTGGGTCACCAAGAAGTAGAATTAGTAGAGACGGGGTTTCCCATGTTGGCTAGAATAGTTTTGATCTCCTGACCTCGTGATCAACTCACCTCAGCCTCCCAAAGTGCTGGGATTACAGGTGTGAGCCACCACGCCCGACAGACTTGGTTCTTGAGGTTTTTGTATGTTCTCTTCATTTCCTTAACTATTCTTGCCACAGTATGATTACCTAGGTGGCATACTGCTTTTCATCTAGCTCACGCCTGAAGGGGCCATCTCAGTTTAGACCACCTATTTGCTCTGAAATATCTCCAGAGGTTCTCATTGATTTCCTGTCCATCTCATATCTGAGATCTGTTTTTCCCCTCTCTAAGAGTATTATCCATTTCCTCTTCATTTCTATAGATAGTAAAAAAGGGGATTGGGGTGAGGAGATAGTTCTTCTGGGACTGGATGCAATCTTTTTTTTTTTTTTTTTCCTAGAGAGGGAGTCTTGCTCTGTTGCCAAGCTAGAGTGCAGTGGCGTGATCTCGGCTCACTGCAACCTCCACCTCCTGGGTTCAACTGACTCTCCTACCTCAGCTTCCCAAGTAGCTGGAACTACAGGTGTGTGCTACCACACCCAGCTAATTTTTGTATGTCAGTAGAGACAGGGTTTCACCATGTTGGCCAGGATGGTCTCAATCTCTTGACCTCATGAACGGCCCACCTTGGCCTCCCAAAGTGCTGGGATTACAGGCATGAGCCATCATGGCCAGCCAGATGCAATCTTTATTAGAATTCCTTGGCTTTGCTTTTCCCTCTGAGACACTGTAAATTGCTGTATGTTGAGAAAGATTCTACTCTAATGAAGTCGAAACTGCCCTTAACTTTCCAATCATTGCTCTGACTCATCATGGAACAAATGAATGCTGCTTCTGAGAGGCAATCTCTGATTCCTACACCACCTCCCCACCACACCCAGTTCTTCAGCCATAGCTGGATCCACCATCCTCCACATTAGAAGGTGCAAACTCTCCTCCTGTGTGCTTCCTTCCAGACACAGTTTTTTTTCTGAGACAGAGTCTCATTCTGTTGCCAGGCTGGAGGGCAGTGGCGCAATCTCAGCTCACTGCAACATCTGCCTTGCGGGTTCAAGTGATTCTCCTGCCTCAGCCTCCCAAGTAGCTGGGACTACAGGCGTGTGCCACCATGCCCAGTAATTTTTGTATTTTTAGTATAGATGGGGTTTCACCATGTTGCCCAGAATGATCTTGATCTCTTGATCCTATGATTCACCTGCCTCAACCTCCCAAAGTACCAGAATTACAGGTGTGAGCCACCGAGCCCAGCCCAGGCACAATATTAACTGAAAATTCTTAGGCCAGGAGCAGAGGCTTATGCCTGTAATCCTAACACTTTGGGAGGCCAAGGGGGTTGGATCATTGGAGGTCAGTAGTTCAAGACCATCCTGGCCAACATGCTGATACCTTGTCTCTGCTAAAAATACAAAACTTAGCCAGGCATGGTGGCACATGTCTGTAGTACCAGCTACTTGAGAGACTGAGGCAGAACTGCTTGAACCCAGAAGATGGAGGTTGCAGTGAGCCAAGATTGTGCATTCCAGCCTGGGCAACAGAGACAGACTCCGTTTCCAAAAAAACAAAATTTTTTGTGGACACATTACTATATTTTACGGCAACAGAGTGAGACTCTGGCTCAAAAAATAAAAATAACTATAACTATATGGGTTTGGGTCATGGCTTATGCTGGTAATCTCAGCACTTTGGAAGGCTGTGGCAGGAGGATTACTTGAGGCCAGGAGCTTGAGACCAGACTGGGCAACATGGTCAGACACCATCTCTACAAAACACATTTTTTAAAAAATTAGCCACACATAGTGGCACACACCTGTAGTTCTAACTACTTGGGAGGATCACTTGAGCCCAGGAGGTAAGGTTACAGTAAGCAATGATCACGCCACTGTACTCCAGCCTGGGCAACAGAATAAGATCCTATCTCTAAAAAAGATTTTTAAAAAATAGTAATAATAGGCTGGGTGTGGTGGCTCACGCCTAAAATCCCAGCACTTTGGGAGGCCGAGGCGGGTAGATCACGAGGTCAAGAGATCGAGACCATCCTGGTCAACAAGGTGAAACCCCGTCTCTACTAAAAATACAAAAGTTAGCTGGGCATGGTGGCGTGCGCCTGTAGTCCCCGCTACTCGGGAGGCTGAGGCAGAACTGCTTGAACCCAGAAGGCAGAGGTTGCGGTGAGACAAGATCGTGCCATTGCACTCCAGTCTAGGTCACAACAGCGAAACTCCATCTCAAAAAAAAATAAAAAAAAAAGTAATAACAGGCCAGGCACAGTGGGTCATGCCTGTAATCCTAGAACAAACTCTGGGAGGCCAAGGCAGAGGAATGGCTTGAGTCCAGAAGTTTGGAACCAGCCTGGCCAACATAGTGAAATACCATTTCTGAAAAAAAAAAAAAAAAAAAAAAAAAAAAAAAAAAAAAAAACAAACACACACACACACAAGAGCCCAGGAGGTCGAGGGTGCACTGAGCTATGACTGATCACACCACTGCACTCCAGCTTGGGCAACAGAGCAAGACTATGTCAGAAAAAAAAAAAAATTAAGGCCAGATGTGGTGACTCACGCCTGTAATCTCAGCACTTTGGGAGGCTGAGGTGAGCGGATCACTTGAGGCCAGCACTTCAAGATCAGTCTGGCCAATATGGTGAAACTCCATCTCTACTAAAATACAAAAAAAAATTAGCCGGGCATGGTAGTGAGCACATGTAATCCCAACTACTCGGGAGGCCGAGGCAGGAGCCTCAGTGAGGCTTGCAGTGAGCCAAGATCACACCACTAAACTCCAGCCTGGGCGACAGAGCACAACTCCCTCTCAAAGAAAATAAATAAATAAACAATAATAATAAAGGCTATGACAACATAGACTTCGTCTATGCCATTTCTTGCTATATCTGCAGCACCTACACAGAGCAGCACCTGGCATGCAGAATGGACTCCGTGAGTATTTGTCAGACAAATGAGTGCGCTTTACCTTATTGAATCCTCCTATACATACTATAAAGCTGGTATTAGGTTCTCTCTTGGCTTAGAGAATACTGTAGGTTTTGGTTTTCTCATATTTTTCTGTGTTTTCCAAACTAACATGTATTACCTTTATAATCAAGGAACACAATAAAAGGAACTGTGCCTTTTTTTTTTTTACCTCAAAATCTGCTCCTGACAAGCAGCAATTCGCTTCATGAATTTGTAAAACGTCTGATCTCCACTTTTAATTATAGTCTTCTCATATTTTTCATCACCATCATTAGAAAAGCTAAAAACAGAAGCAGAAAACATTTTTGAATGTCTATATCCAGAAAATTACAGCATTTGCAAGACAAAACAAGATAATTTTCTTTTAAAAAACTCTATCAGTCACGCCTGTACTTTAGGAGTCACACTAGCACTTTAGGAGGCCGAGGCAGGTGGATCGCCTGAGGTCAGGAGTTTGAGACCACCAGCCTGGCCAACATCCTGAAATCCCATTTCTACTAAACATAAAAAAAATTAGCAGGGCATGGTAGCGGGAATTTGTAATCCCAGCTACTTGGGAGGCCGAAGTAGGAGAATCACTCGAACCCAAGAGGCAGAGATTGCCGTGAGCCAAGATCGTGCCACTGCACTCCAGCCTGGGCAACAAGAGTGAAATTCTGTCTCAAAAACAAAAAAGATTATGAGGCCGGTGCAGTGGCTTAATGCCTGTAATCCCAGCACTTTGGGAGGCCAAGGCAGGCGTATCACTTGAGTGCAGGAGTTCAAAACCATCTGGGCAACATGGCAGAACCTTGTCTCTACAGAAAAATACAAAAATTAGCTGGGTGTGGTAGCATGCACCTGTGGTCCCAGCTACTACAGAGGTGAGGCCGTGGTGTGCCATGAGTGCTGTGCTACAGAGATGAGGCCGTGGTGAGCCATGAGTGCTGCGCTACAGAGGTGACGCCGTGGTGAGCCATGAGTGCTGCGCTACAGAGGTGAGGCCGTGGTGAGCCATGAGAGCTGCGCTACAGAGGTGAGGCCGTGGTGAGCCATGAGTGCTGCGCTACAGAGGTGAGGCCGTGGTGAGCCATGAGTGCTGCGCTACAGAGGTGAGGCCGTGGTGAGCCATGAGTGCTGCGCTACAGAGGTGAGGCCGTGGTGAGCCATGAGTGCTGCGCTACAGAGGTGAGGCCGTGGTGAGCCATGAGTGCTACGCTACAGAGGTGAGGCCGTGGTGAGCCATGAGTACTACACTACAGCCTGGGTAACAGTGTGAAGCCCTGTCTCAGAAAGAAAAAAAAAAACTGTCAAAGTAAAAAATTGTAAAACTACAAAGTAAAAAAAAATTTTTTTTTTGAGTGTCACCTCTCAAAGGTGCAAGGCAGTGGGGGGGATCTCGGCACACTGCAACCTCGGCCTCCCTGGTTCAAGCAATTCTCCTGCCTCCCGAGTAGCTAGGATTACATGTGTGTACCAACACATCCAACTAATTTTTTTACTTTTAGTAAAGACGGGGTTTTGCCATGTTGCCAGGCTGGTCTCCAACTCCTGAACTCAAGTGATCCAACTCGGCCTCCCAAAATGGTGGGATTATATGCATGAGCCACTGCAGCCAGCCAAAAACCGTCAAGTAAATATTTTTAACATTTAAATTGTGTACTTGTAGTTCTGTAGTCCCCTGTCCCACTCTTAATCCCAAGCCATTTTCAACTTTTGGATAATTATTTATAATTTAAAAAGTCGCAGGGCATAGTGGCTCACACCTGTAATCTCAACACTTTGGAAGTCCATGGCAGGAAGATCGCTTGAGACTAGGAGTTTAAGTCCAGCCTGAGCAACATAGCAAGACCCCAGCTCATAAAAAAAAAATATTTTTGATGGCTGGACACGGTGGCTCACGCCTGTAATCACAGCACTTTGGGAGGCTGAGGCAGGTGGACCACGAGGCCAAAAGACTGAGACTATCCTGGCCAATATGGTGAAAACCCCATCTCTACTAAAAATACAAAAGTTAGCTGGGTATGGTGGTACATGCCTGCAGTCCCAGCTACTTGGGAGGCTGAGGTGAGAGGCAGTGGAGCGTGGAAGGCAGAGGTTGCAGTGAGCTGAGATCATGCCACTGCAATCCAGCCTGGCAAAAGAACGAGACTCTTGTCTCAAAAAATAAATAAAATAAATAAATTTTGGCTGGGTGCAGGGGCTCCTGCCTGTGATCCCAGAACATTGGGAGGCCAAGGACAGTGGGTCACTTGAGGTCAGGAGCAGCCTGGCCAATATGGTGAAACCCCATCTCTACTAAAAATAGAAAAATTAGCTGGGTGTGGTGGCGGGTACCTGTAATCCCAGCTACTTGGGAGGCTGAGGCAGGAGGATCACTTGAACCTGGCAGGTGGAGGTTGCAGTGAGCAGTATCATGCCATGGCACTTCAGCCTGGGCTACAAAGTGAGACTCTGTCTCAAAAAAAAAAAAAAAAAAAAAAAAATTTATTAGTTGAGTTCGGTGGCACACACCTGTAGTCCCAGCTACTGGGGAAGCTGAGGCCAGGAGTTTGAGGCTTCAGTAAGCCATGAGCAGGCTGGGCATGGTGGCTCACATCTGCCATCCCAGTACTTTGCAAGACTGAGGTAGACAGATCATTTGGGGCCAGGAGTTCAAGAACAGCCTGGCCAATATGACAAAAGCCCATCCCTACTAAAAAGAAAATACAAAAATTAGCTGGGTACCATGGAGCACGCCTGTGGTCCCAACTACTTGGTAGGCTGAGTCATGAGAACTGCTTAAGCCTGCAAGGCAGAAGTTGCAGTGGGCTGAGTGCCACTGCACTCCAGCCTGGGCAACAGAGCGAGACTGTCTCAAAACAAAAAAAGCCATGGCCATACCACACCATATCACTCCAGCCTAGGCAACAAAGCAAGATCCCATCTTTAAAAAAACAAACAAACAAACAAACAAAAACTCTAGTCTGAAGGAAGCCACCAAAAATAAGTAAATACATAAAAATTTTAAAAATTAAAAAATAGGAGGGCCAGGTGCAGTGGCTCACACCTGTAATACTAGCAGTTTAGGAGGCCAAAGCAGGTGGATCACCCTGAGGTCAGGAGTTTGAGACCAGCCTAACATAGTGAAACCCCATCTGTACTAAAAATACAAAAATTAGCCAGGTATGGTGGCGCATGCCTGTAATCCCAGCTACTTGGAAGGCTGAGGCAGGAGAATCACTTAAAGCCAGGAGTCAGAGGTTGCAGTGAGCTGAGATCATGCCATTGCACTCCAGCCTGGGCAACAAGAGTGCAACTCACACACACAAAAATCTGTAATTGGTCAGGCATGGAGGTATGCACCTGTACTCCAAGCTACTTGGGAAGCTGAGGCAGACTGCTTGAGCCCAGGAGTTCGAGGCTGCTGTGAGCTGTTATCACACCACTACACTCTAGCCTGGGTGACAAAGTGAGACTCTGTCTCTCTCAATCAATCAATCAATAAGCGAAAATAATCATTCTTACTTCTTTAGAGAGCTTTGGTTTATAAAGCCTTTCAAGATCTACTATCTTGCTTGACTCTCAAAATCATGTGATGAGACAGAGAACAGAGATATCACCATCACTCTCACTTTACAGGAGGTAACTGAAGATCTGAAAGCATCTCTGAAGTCCTGGGCCAGTTCTAGAGCCACAGCCAAGAGTCAATAAATAAATGGCATTTTTCTTTTCCTTCTTCCATGTTTTTGCTCCAGTCTTAGATCAAATGGCAGTTTTCTAACTTACCTGTCTCTGCTATAAGGACATTTTAGAAATAAAAAGTTAAAGAGTCAGTGAATGCAACTTCTATAAATACTTGTTATCTCTAACTTCTGTTTCTCCATCTTTGTTCACTTTTTAATGATAATTATAAATAGAGCAGTGTTTACAAGATAATTCAAGTTGGCTGATAAGGGAGTGAAACGAAAAGGTCCTACATACAAGTTCTGCCTGAATGTTTCCCCAGGTCCCGGGGGGGAAACTGAAGGGTAACTACTATGGCTGCTTCCCAATCAGGTCACCTATCAATCTCAGCAGCACACATCCTCACCTTTGAGAAAGCAACTGATCCATGGCAATTCCTTCTCTCTGCTGATAGTCCCTCAGAAGGCTGTGGGCATGATCCAGGTTGACAAAGTCCCTGTAATCATCCTCGTCTGCAACACAGATATAGTAGGGCAGGAATGGTGGCATCCCAGGAGGCAAGGCCATCTGCTCCCCGGGAGGCCCAGGAGGGGCAGCACCCAGGAGAGCATCCTGCAGATGGAGGTGTTGCAGCCGAGCAGTCCAGTCTATGTCTTTGGCACTGCTGGCATTGTTCTCAAAATCCAAGGTAAGCTGCGGCGAAGGCAGCTCCTCAGTGTCACTTCCCCAGTCATCTGCACCTTCACACCAGTCCTCAGCTGCAAGGCTGTTTTCCTGTTTCTGGAAAAATATCCAGTGAATGAAGTCCAAGCACACTTGGGAGGTTTATTCTATTCCTTCAGCTCCAGTCACCCTTCCCTGTGCCTTCCAGATGGAGCCTTCACACCAGCCCGTTCCCCTCTGGCACACTCCAGTCCAACTTTCTAGACCCTATGTACTCAAAAGCATGTTGGAGGCAACTTAAAATACTTGTCTTTCCTTTTCAGGGTCAGTGTGACAGATATAGTATGTGGTTTCTTCAACCATCTGTTCCAATATCTTTCTGTTCTGCTTCATGTATTACAGGAACTGAAAAGAAAGAACTACATTTCCCAGAATCCTTAGCAGCCAGGGTTTCAGATCTGATTAGGGGTCTACTAATCAGGGCCACTAGAGAGAGACACGAACTTGAGACAGAGTGAAGTAGAAAGGGCATGAAGCAAAAGGCAGCCAGTCTGCAGACACAGACAGAACAAGGATTTTGAGCCAACAGTTCTGTGGCAAGGACAGCTTCTAGTTCACCAGATCACACCTAGGCTTCCTGACTGCAGGAGAGGTGGCATAGCAGCTCCTTCATGGCCAGTTCTGAGGTGTGATTCTAGAGGACATTCCTGGAGCCTCTTCTTTCAGCCTATCCACTTGGTAAAAAACCTCACTCCTGTGTTAAGTCTGCCTCAGCTTAAAAGCCAGGCATGGTGGTACATGTCAAGGCGGGCGGATCACCTAAGGTCAGGAGTTCGAGACCAGCCTGGCCAACATGGCAAAACCCTGTCTCTATTGAAAAAAAGCCAAAAACGGCCGGGCGCGGTGGCTCACGCCTATAATCCCAGCACTTTGGGAGGTCGAGGCGAGTGGATCACGAGGTCAAGAGATCGAGACCATCCTGGTCAACATGGTGAAATCTCGTCTCTACTAAAAATACCAAAAAAAAGAAAAAAATAGCTGGGCATGGTGGCACACGCCTGTAGTCCCAGCTACTTGGGAGGCTGAGGCAGGAGAACTGCTTGAACCCAGGAGGTGGAGGTTGCGGTGAGCCGAGATCACGCCATTGCACTCCAGCCTGGGTAACAAGAGCGAAATTCTGTCTCAAAAACAAAACAAAACATAAAATTAGCCAGGCGTGGTGGCAGGTGCCTGTAATCCCAGCTACTAGAGAGACTGAGGCAGGAGAATAGCTTGAAGCCGGGAGGCGGAGAGTGCAGTGGCGCGATTTAGACTCACTGCAACTTCATGCCTGCAATCCCAGCACTTTGTGAGGCTGAGGTGGATGGATCACATGAGGTCAAGAGTTCGAAATCAGCCTGGCCAACACGGTGAAACCACATCTCTTCTAAAAATACAAAAAAAAAAAATAAAATAACAGGGCATGGTGGCAATAAGGAGATGATGGTCAAAGAATACAAAACATCAGTTATATAGGAGGAATGTGGGTTTTAAAAAATTCTATTGGCCAGGCTTGGTGGTTCACGCCTATAATCCCAGCACTTTGGGAGGCCGAGGCGGGTGGATCACGAGGTCAAGAGATTGAGATCATCCTGGTCAACAAGGGGAAACTGCGTCTCTACTAAAAATACAAAAATTAGCTGGGCGTGGTGGCACGCGCCTGTAGTCCCAGCTACTCAGGAGGCTGAGGCAGGAGAATTGCTTGAACCCAGAAGGCGGAGGTTGCGGTGAGCCAAGATCGTGCCATTGCACTCCAGTCTGGGTAACAACAGCGAAACTCCATCTCAAAAAAAAAAAAATTTCTATTGCACAGCATGGATATAGTTAATAACAGAGTATTGTATATCTCAAAATTGCAAGAGGAAATTTCAAATGTTCTCACAAGATGTTAAGTATTTGAGGCAACAAATGAATTAACTGGCTTGATTTAATTATTCCACATGATATTCATGAATCATAAGCATCATTTTATACCTCTAATGTATAAATTTATACATTATTATAAACTGTTGATTTATAGTTAAAAAATGTTGAAGAAATCCAGGAGGAAGTCTCCATCCCACTTTTTTTTTGGAGACAGGGTCTGGCTCTGTCACCCAGGCCGGAGTGCAGTGGCACAACCGTAGCTCGCTGCAGCCTCAACCTCCTGGACTCAAACAATCCCCTCACCTCAACCCTGAGTTGCTGGCACTACAGTTGCACAGCCACCATGCCAGGCTAATTTTTTACTTTTTATAGAGATGATGTCTTTCTGTGTTGCCCAGACTGGTCTCCAACTTCTCTTTTGTCTTTGTTTTTGAGATAAAGTCTGACTCTGTTGCCCAAGCTGGAGTGCAGTGGCATGATCTTGGCTCACTGCAATCTCCACCTCCCAGGTTCAAGTGATTCTCCTCCCTCAGCCTCCCTAGTAGCTGGGACCTGCCACCATGCCTGGCTAAATTTTTGTTTTTATTTTTAATAGAGACAGAGTTTCACCATATTGGCCAGGCTGGTTTTGAACAACTGACCTCAGGTTATCTGCCCGCCTCAGGCTCCCAAAGTGCTGCGATTACAGGCATGAACCAAGGTACCCGGCCTGGTCTCCAACTTCTGAGCTCAAGCAATCCTCCCACCTCAGTCTCTCAAAAAAATGTTGGGAATCACAGGCGTGAGTCACCATGCCAGGCCCAGGAGTTAGAAAATAAAAATAAAGTAAAATAGAAGGAAAAAACAAAATAAAACAAAAGCCCTCGGCTGGGCACAGTGGCTCATTCCTGTAATCCCAGCACTTTGGGAGGCCTAGGCCGGCGGATCACAAGGTCAGGAGTTCAAGACCAGCCTGACCAACATGGTGAAACCCTGACTCTACTAAAAATCCAAAAATAAGCCGGGCATGGTGGCACATGCCTGTAATTCCAGATACTCAGGAAGCTGAAGCAGGAGAACTGCTTCAATCTGGGAGGCGGAGGTTGCAGTGGGCCGAGATCGTGCCACTGCACTCCAGCCTGGGCAACACAGTGAGACTCCGTCTAAAAAAAAAAAAAAGCCCTTACCAAAATCTTAAGAAAATTAAGTGTTACGATTCTGCAGACCAGCAAAAACATTCCAATGTACTTCAAAGAACACGGCTTCAAAGTTTGTCCCAAACAATATTCTGAAAAATATCTTCAAATGACAGGAAAACAATAACATGCCAATCACAACTGCTTTACCTGAGCGTCTTGAGCCTCTCTCTCTGGCACCTGCAGGCACTGGGAACGGAACACCTTCCAGCTTCGGGGTGAAGACAAACGGCCGTGAGGGCTGCACCCCGACTCCGGCCCGCCGGCCCGCCCCAGCCCGCTGGAAAGTACGCCCCGGGAGCAGCTCCATGCCTTTCCCACCTACCTGCGCGCACCGCCGGTGCTGCAGCTGGGGCAGGCGCACGCAAACACGTGCAGCAGCCGGTGAAACGGGGAGCCTTCCAGCGGGCAGTACACCTGCACGACCAGGGCGAGCCGCTGCCCACAGCGCTGACACACGGGCCTGGGCGCAGCCACGGTGGGCAGAGCATCCTGAGGGCAGAGGAGGCGCTCAGACCCCAACTCCCCGCGGGACCTCGCCCACTCTCTCTGCACCCTTCACCAGCACCCACCGACCCCTGCCCCGGCGCCCACTCTCACCGGAATGCCGCCCAGCTTGCTAGCAGTCCAGGCTCCCGGCCCTGTGGGGCTGCCGTGCACCGGCGCATCTCGAAGGCCCAGCAGCACCGGCTTCGGAACGGCCGCCATAGCCACCGGGCGACCAGGAGGAAACACGAACCACGGAAGCCGAGCGGGCGCATCTCTCTGCGCACGCGTAACAGTTACGCTGAGGTAGCCCCGCCCCCTTATTGGGATCCGATGCGGAGGCGTAGCCTTAAGGCGAATGCACTCAGGTCCCAGAGCCACAGAGGTGCCTGCTGGCGTCAGAGGCTCGCTCGGAATCCGGGAGTCCCAGGCATTATGTGCCCCATAGTGCGCTGCGATAGAACACCATCTACTAGGTAGTAGTTTTGCCAAAAAGCTTTTTTCTTTTTTCTTGAGACTATGTCTTGCTATATTGCCCAAACTGGTCTTGAACTCCTGGGCTCAAGCGATCCTTCCGCCTTAGCCTCCCAAAGTGTTGGGATTACAGGTGTGAGCCACCAGGGGGCCCAGGCTCCAAAAAGCCTTTCCGGAAAATAAAAATTTTAGATGGGATAATGGTGTTATCAATCATTAAGAACAACAATAAAGTTAATTTTGAGAGAAACACACCAAAATGCTTATAGATGAAATATCTGAGATTTGCTACCACATAATTGAGGTGGGATATAGATACAGTAAGATTGGCCATGAGTTGATAGTTGTTGAAATTTGGTGCCAGGCACATGGAGATTTATTCTATTTGGGTTTTGTATGTTTGAAAATTTTCAGTTGTTATTTTTGTTTTTGAGACACAGTCTCAGTGGGTCACCCAGGCTGGAGTGCAGTGTCACGATCTTGGCTCACTGCAACCTCTGCCTTCTGGGTTCAAGCGATTCTCTGGCCTCAGCTCCCTCATAGCAGGGATTACAGGCACCTGCCACCATGCCCTACTAATTATTTTATATTTTTAGTAAAGAAGGGGTTTCACCATGTTGGCCAGGCTGGTTTTGAACTCCTGAACTCAAGTGATCCACCCACTTCCACCTCCCAAAGTATTAGTATTACAGGCATGAGCCACTGCACCAGGCCACACAATAGTTCTTTAAATCCTGCAGCACAACATGGGTGAATTTCAAAAGTATCATGGGAGGAAGCCAGACACAAAAGGTGCTGTTCTGGTAAAAGGAGAATCTTAAGGGGAAAAAAATCAGATCAATGGTAGTCAGGAGCTGGGATGAGGGAGTAGGAATGCACCACAACAGAGCATCAGGAACTTTTTAGGGTGAGGAAAATGCTGTACATCTCATCTGTAATAGTTATAAGACTGTATATACTAGTGAAAACTCAGAACTGTGTACCAAAGGTGAATCTTATTATATGTAAATTATACACCAATAAACCTGACTTTTAAAAATATGCCGGCTGCAAAAACATTATTTCAGGATTCATAACATGGTATGCAAAGGAAATTATGTTTTTCAAGGATCTACACCTCAAAAGAGGAAGCATCAGCCTTTGTGTTGTTCGGCTCTAGCCCAGGAGATGAAACCTGCTTACTCCTGTTCTATCACGCTTCAACTTGACAGCTTTAAAAGGCTCTGTGATGCTGGGCACAGTGGCTTGCGCCTGTAATCCCACCACTTTGGGAGGCCAAGGCAGGAGGATCACTTGAGCCCAGGAGTTCAGGACAAGCCTGGGCAACACAGTGGTGTTACCAGTGGAGGGTCCTGCCTACAAGTTGTCCAGGTTCTTGGAATGCTGAACAAAGAGTTGGACAAAACACACAAAGCAACGCAAGAAAGAAGGAACAAAAGCAGAGTTTTATTGAAGCGAAAGTACACTCCAGAAAGCAGGAGGAGGCTTAAGCAAGTGCAGTTGGAAAAATCTGGAGTTTAAGTACCCTTTAGTGGTTTCCTATTTGGTTACATCCTATGTAAATAAAGACTTGGCCTGCGACCAATCAGAGGCTGAAGTGAACACTCCCTTGTCTCTAAACCCTATTCTCCTGCCTTAGTGAGACCCTATCACTGCAAAAATTTAGTTTTTTCTTTTACAGCACTATATTGATCTACCAAAATTTAGAAATGAGCTGGGTGTACTGGCATGCGTCTGTAGTCCCAGCTACTTGGAAGGCTGAGGTAGGAAAATCACCTTAGCCTGGGAAGGCTTCAGTCTGCTATAATTGCAACACTGTAGTCTAGCCTCGGCAACAAAGACCCTGTCTCTAAGAAAAAAATTTTTGAATAGGCTGGGTGTGGGGGCTCATGCCTGCAATCCCAGCACTGTGGGAGGCCGAGGTGGAAGGATCTCCCGAGCCCTGGAATTCAAGACCAGTCTAGTCTGGGCAACATAGCAAGACCCATCTCTACAAAAATTTAAAAACTAGCAGGGCATGGTGGCACAACCTGTAGTCTCAATTTTGGGAGGCTGGGGCAAGAGAACTGTTTGAGTCTGAGTGCTTATGGCTGCAGTGAGCTGTGATCATGCCACTGCACTCCAGCCTGGGCAACAGAGCAAGACCCTATCTCAAAAAAAAAAAAAAAAAAAAAAAATCAGGCTGGGTGCAGTGGCTCATACCCATAATCCTAGCGCTTTGGGAGGCCAAGGCGGGCAGATCACCTGAGGTCAGAAGTTCAAGACCAGCCTGGCCAACAGGGTGAAACCCCTTCTCTACTAAAAATGAAAAAATTAGCTGGGTGTTGTGGCACATGCCTCTAATCTCAGCTACTTGGGAGGCTGAGGCAGGAGAACCAGGGAGATGGAGGTTGCAGTGAGCTGAGATCGTACCACTGCACTCTAGCCTGGGTGACAGCAAGACTCTGTCTCGAGAAAAACAATCCTGGTTTCAATTTCTGCCTTTTAAAGTGAAAGAATTACCCGAGCATCTTGCCAGGAGATGGCAGTTGCCCTTGGTCTTGTCCAGGAATTCACCCCAAACAAAATCTCAATGCAGTTTTTAGAACCATCCATTAAACAGAGTATCCAATTTCTCCAGTCACAGAGGTTAGGAGTAGAGAACAGTTATGGGATTTGGTGACACAGGCCAAGCTGCCCTCCTGATTGTGCCCTCACCACACTACTGTCTTCTCAAGGCACCGTGCCCCACTCTAGATCTGCTCACCACTTAAGTGTTCAGTGTCCACGGAGGCACAGCCTGTGTTGTGCTGAGCTCACCTGCCTTCTGCTACATAAAGCACCATCTCAGGAAAAAAATCAGAGGCTGAGCCCTACAGCCTCCTCTGCAGCATCTTTATTTTTCTACACGGGATGTGAACAACGTGAACATGGGTCAGAAAAGTCAGCTGCATAAAAACACTTCAGCCAATTGTAACACAGAGGGACGGCAGACATGGAGGGGCTTGAGGGTAGCAATTCGAGACCAGCCTTCCCTGAAAAAGGCTCGTGGTCCAAGCCCACAACCAGAGGGTGCTCTGGGTGGGAGGGGGCCAGGACCATGCAGTTCCAGCTTTGGGGAGAAGGGATGAAAAGGAGCAGTCACAGAGGAGGCTGTGGCTGAGCACGAGTTTATTGGACTCTGGCCTCGCGCTGCTGCTTAATGAAGTTGATAAGCCCGTTGGTGGAAGCATCGTGAGAGGTCACTTGAGCACTGCCATCAAGCTCAGGCTCAATTTTCTTAGCCAGCTGCTTTCCCAGTTCCACTCTGCCAAGAAGGGAAGAGTAGTATGAGGAAGGCTCTACCAAAGGCATTCCCAGCCTTCCCCTAAGTGAGCAACTCACCCCCACTGGTCAAAGCTGTTGATGTCCCAGATGATGCCCTGAACGAAGATCTTGTGCTCATACATGGCTGCAGAGGTGACAGACAGGGAACGTCAGGGCTCCGCAAGCTCATTCCAACCTACCCCAAGCCAGGACCTTCCCCAACTCACTCACCGACCAAGGCTCCAAGCATGAATGGTGTGAGTTTGGTGAACACAATAGAGTTGGTTGGGCGATTTCCTTCAAAGACCTGCAGAAAACACCAAGGAATGTCTCTAAGCAAGTTCTGATCCCCAAACCCCTAGAAGGGAAGCATGCCCTGCCCCAGAGGCTGAGACATGCAGGTCTTGAGGACAGGCCCTCCCACTCTGTAGGACAAGCCAGGCATGCCCCCAAGCCCTTGCCTGGTGCCACAGCTTCAACCCTCCAACTCCAGCATGTGCCCTGAAGCTGACTGCAGCAATGCTGACCTTATGTGGCAACAGCTTCTCAAGGTCCTCTGGACTCTTGCCTGCAGCCTGGAGCTCCTTTCGGGCCTCGTCTGTTGATTTACCCCTCATCAGGGCCTCTGTCTGGGCCAGGAAGTTGGCCAGGAGGATCTGATGAGAGAGATATCAGTTATGCTTGAGAGCACTGTCTGAGCTTCAGGCAGAGAGACAAGACTGCCTGGCACTTTTCAGCAGGGGTCAGTCCCAGCCTGGGTCACTCACTGGATAGCTCAGCTGGAAAGAGAGGGACACATCCAATGACACCTCAAGGCAGGGAACAGTGATAACCACTCTTTAAGGGCTACGCACTACTTGCCAGGAGTCCTGCTAACAATTTTACCAACACTTATCTCTTAAGATCCTAAGAAGGTAGCTGTAGTATTATGCGCCTGTAATCCCAGCTACTTGGGAGGCTTAGGCACGAGAATCACTTGAACCCAGAAGGCAAAGGCTGCAGTGAGCTGAGGTCACACTAACTGCACTCCAGCCTGGGTGACAAAGTGAGACCGTGTCTCATTAAAAAAAAAAAAGGGGGGGGGCCGGGCGCAGTGGCTCAAGCCTGTAACCCCAGCACTTTGGGAGGCCGAGGCAGGTGGATCACGAGGTCAAGAGATCAAGACCATCTTGGTCAACAAGGTGAAACCCCGTCTCAACTAAAAATACAAAAAATTAGCTGGGCATGGTGGCGCGTGCCTGTAGCCCCAGCTACTCGGGAGGCTGAGGCAGGAGAATTGCCTGAACCCAGGAGGCGGAGGTTGCAATGAGCCGAGATTGCGCCATTGCACTCCAGCCTGAGTAACAAGAGTGAAACTCTGTCTCAAAAAAAAAAAAAAAAAGAAAAGAAAAGAATAATAGTAGAATCCTAAGGAGGAAAGTCATCATCGCCCTGTTCTAGTTGAGCCTCGGGTTCTGCAAGTCCACAGTGCTGGATCCACAGTGCTGGGAAGAATCAGAATCCAGGCCACTGACTCCAAAGGTAGTGCTACCATAACCCTGTGCTGCTCTGCACACCCAAGACAAGGCACAATAAATTCTCCGAAGGCGCGCGAGACCAGCTTGGGCAACATAGTAAAACTCCATCTCTACAAAAAATAAAAAAAAATCAGCTGGATGTGGTGGCATGTACCTTTTCCCAGTTACTCAGGAGGCTGAGGTAGGAGGACTGCTTGAGCCCAGGTGGGTGACACTGCAGGGAGCCTGATTGTGCCACTGCACTCCAGCCTGGGCAACAGAGCAAGACTGTCTCTTAAAAAAAAAAAAAAAAAATTAGCTAGGCATGATGCACATCTGTGGTCTCAGCTACTCAGGAGAGACTGATATAAGAGGATTGGTTGAAGTATGAGTTGGCCACTGCACTCCAGCCTCAGCAACAGAGTGACATTCTATCTCTAAAATCAAATTAAATTAAATTAAAATTAAGGGAAGATTTTCCTGGATTATCTAGTAGGCCCAATCTAATCACACCGGCCCTTAAAAGTAAAAGAAGGCCAGGTACGGTGGCTTGCACCTGTAATCTGAGGACTTTGGGAGGCCAAGGTGGGAGAATCACTCGAGCCCAGGAGTTGGAGACCAGCCTAGACAATATAATGAAGCCTGTCTCTATAGAAAGTTTAAAAATTAACCAGGCATGGTGGTGTGTGCCTGTAAGTCTCAGCTACTCGAGGGGCTAAGGCAGGAAGATTGCTTGAGCCCTGGAGGTCGAGGTTAGTTAACTGTGATCGTGCCATTCAAGTCCAGCCTGGATAACACTGCCTGACGCTGTCACTTAGGGAATAAAAGAAAAATGTAGAAGAGGAAGGTAGACAAATCAGCCAGAGAGATGGGAAGTGGCAAGACAGAATCAAAGCTTCAGAAGGATTTAACCTGCCATTGCTGGTTCTGCAGTGAAGAGGTCCACAAGCTAGGGAATGCAGGTGACCTTGAGAATCTGAGAACAATCCTCTCAGGCCACAGCAAGGAGGCTGGACCTTAGTTCCACAACCATACAGAAATAAATTTTGCCAACCACCTGACAAGCATGGAAAAGGCTTTTCCCCTAGGGTCTCCAGAAAGAAACACAGTCCTGCTGACACCTTGACTGCAGCCTGCAAGATTCTAAGCAGAGACACACCAGAGCCTGCTAGACATTTGAGCTTCAGAAACTCAAATGGCATAGGCCAGGCGTGGTGGCTCATGCCTACGAGCCCAACACTTCGGCAAGCCAAGGCAGGTGCATTACTTGAGGTCATGAGTTCAAGACCAGACTGGCCAACAGTGAAACCACATCTCTACCAAAAATACAAAATAAGCTGGGTGTGGTAGTGTGTGCCTGTAGTCCCAGCCACTTGGGAGACTGAGACATGAGAATCACTTGAGGCTGGGAGATGAAGGCTGCAGTGAGCCAAAATCGTGCCACTGCCCTCCAGCATGGGTGACAGAACATGACTCTGTCCCCACTCCCCGCCCCCCAAAAAAGAAGATACTCTGAGATAAGAGTGTTGTTCTAAGCCTCTATGTTTGTTGTCATTTGTCACGGCAGGAACAGAAAACTAACGTGACTGCCAACCAACGCATCAGGTTTTCAGAGGTCTGGGTGCAATGTGAGCCAGATCCTCAAATGAGGCCAGATGGGGGCTCTTACCTTGTGATGCAAACCCTTCCGTATGGGGTGCTGGGTCTGGACCGGGATGAGGAAGTCACAGGGTATCATCTTGGTGCCTGTGAAGGGTACTGTGGTCACCCACATGACCCCAGCCCATGGGAGCTAGCCATACAGCCTAGAGGAGGGCACTGACCTAAGTGAGATGTCTCTTCTGGAAGATCCCTTCCCTCCCCAGCGCCACCCTGCCCAGGCCACAGGGGCCTACCTTGGTGGATGAGCTGGTAAAAAGCATGCTGGCCATTGGTCCCTGGCTCCCCCCACACAATGGGGCCTGTTTGGTGGTCTACACGGGTGCCAGATTTGGTGATGTATTTCCCATTGGACTCCATGTCACCCTGGAAAAGGAACAGAAACCCAGCCCTTGGCAAAATGAAAGAAAATTTAAAAAGAAAGAAAGAAAAAAGGAAAGAAAGAAAGAAAGAAAAAGAAAGAAAGAAAGAAAGAAAGAAAGAAAGAAGGAAAGAAAGAAAGAAAGAAAGAAAGGAAAGAAGGAAAGAAAGAAAGAAAGAAAGACCCCAGTCCTCTACCTGCAAGTCTTGATCCTTTGCACACTGTACCCATGTCTGGCTCCTTCCTGCACCAAGCCCAATTCCTGCCCAGATGCTCCAGGCAGACCCACCCTGCCCTGGCCCCGTGAGGCACGATCCCTTTCCTCCCCACACCTGTGAGGACACAGCCTCCCAAGCTTTCCGGCTTAGGCCACTGCAGGAAGGACCCATGCCCAGGAAAAGGTGGGTCTGGAGGTCAGGTGAGGACCTCTCTTAAGACAAAATTGGTCACAAAATCAACTCATTTCTTAAGGGAGAGCAGGTTGGGGTCCAGAGTGCACAACTTTTTTTTTTTCCTCAAGAGACAGAATCTCACTCTGTCACCCAGGCTGGAGCACAGTGGTAGAATCCCAACTCACTAAAGCCTCGATCTCTTGGACTCAAGCAAATCTCTTGCCTCAGCCTCCCAAGCAGCTGGGACTACAGGCACCATACCATCATGCCCAGCTGTTTTTAGTTTTTGGATTTTTTTTTTTTTTTGAGAGTTTTGCTCTTGTTGCCCAGGCTGGAGTGCAACAGTACGATCTCAGCTCACTGCAACCTCTGCCTCCCGGGTTCAAGCGATTCTCCTGCTTCAGCCTCCCAAGTAGCTAGGATTACAAGCATGCGCCACCATGCCCAGCTAATTTTTTGTATTTTTAGTAGAGACAGGGTTTCAACATGTTGTTCAGGCTGGTCTGAAACTCCCAACCTCAGGTGATCCACCCACCTCAGCCTCCCAAAATGCTGGAATTACAGGCATGAGCCACCGCACCCTGCCGGATTTGTTTTAGAGACAGGGTCTCACTACGTTGTCCAGGCTGGTCTCCAACTCTTGGCCTCAAGCAATCCCCCACAGCCTCTGCCTCCCAAGATGCTGGGACTGCAGGCATCCGCGACCATGCTCGGCTGACAGTACAGCCTTTGAAGGCTGTCACCTCAACTAGACACTAGGCTTTGGGTACCCACCTGGACCCTGCTCATGGCAACCCTCACAAAGGCAGCTGGGATTTGGGGAACCTTGGCCTCTCCTTCAATCACAAGATTTGCTTCCAAGTGTTGGTGAAGCCTTCTGTACTTTCCCCAAACAGTTCAAGAGCTGCTGGAAAGGGACTGGTTTTATACGAAACAGAAGCAAGGACAGGGTAGGGCACAGTGGCTCAAGCCTGTAATCCCAGCACTTTGGAAAGTCAAGGCAGGTGGATTTGTTGAGGCCAGGAGTTTGAATCCAGCCTGGGCAACATGATGAAACCCCATCGCCACTAAAAAATACAAAAATTAGTCAGGCATGGTGGTGCATGCCTGTAATCCCAGCTATTGGGAGGCTGAGGCACAGGACTCGCTTGAACTCAGGAAGCAGAGGTTGCAGTGAGCCAAGATCACACCACTGCACTCCAGCCTGGGTGACAGAGTAAGACTCTGTCTCCAAAAAAAAAAAAAAAAAAAGTAGGGACAGGTATGGAAAAGCTTTCCAGAACATAATATGATGAGGAGAGGGCCTGTTCAGCCTCTGGAGGCTCTAGAGATCCCAAGGGAGAAGAGGCCCATGTAGTCCAAAGAGGCTACAGGCTACCACAGACTAGATACAGATAAGATTTTCTGGAGGGATAAAGGCAGTATGGGCTATAAGGGGTTCCAGCTTGCAGCTCCATCCTATGGCCAAATTCTACCTCCTCACACAGGGACAGACCCAGATCCTCATATCTGTACCAACCAGATCCTACCTCCTCAAAATCAGATATTAACAGACCCAGGTCCTCATTCCAGGGCTCGATCCTACGTCCTCAGACACTATCATGAGCATGTACAAGAAAGAAGTGACCTCAGCTGAAAAGCATCCCCTGAGCCACGCCAGGACCTCCCTAGCCAAGGCACCATGATCACCGGTCATGCCCCTCCCATAGTGGTCAAATGCAAATGATGCTCAAATGGAACCAACTTCAATTACTAAGATTCATGCTGAGACAAGGGGCACAGACAGACCTTGGCCAGGCCCAAGGGCAATGGAGCAAAGAGCACCTGGAGGAGCTGAAACCCAGGTTCCAGGACCTCCCAGACCCCCCACAGACGCTGCTGACTCCAAGGCCTGGCTTGGCAGCTGGTACCTGCTGGAAATATGCAGCAAAGCGGTGGAGGTACTGGTCATAGGGCAGCATGGCGTGAGTCTCACACCCAAAGCAGTTGATGTACCAGATGCCCAGGAGGGCCAGCAGGATGGGGGCGTTCTTCTCCAGCGGCGTTGTGCGGAAGTGCTGGTCCTGAAACAGGAGCAGCATGAGTGGGAGCTGAGCAGCTGCACAGGGAGGGGAGGGACAGGAGAGTGGGGGAAAAAATGGAGGGACCAGGACCAACACACGCGCCTCTGGCCAGCACCTTGCAGAGAACCATCCTCAGCACTCACCATCCAGTGAGCCCCCGAGAGCAGCTGCTCGAAGTTGTCAAAACCTGTGACACAAAAACAGTCAAAAAAAGTGGTAACACCCTGCACCCTGTGGGCAGCAGACGCAGCTCCTTCTGCAACCGAGGAAGGCTGCATGGAAAGCCAGAAGACAGTACATGGGAGGATATAGGCCCAGAGACAGCTCCTCTGGTGAGAGGTGGACCTGAGTGCAGGGATCTGACTCTGCCTAGGATGGGAGAGGAAAAGGATTGCAGTTGTGAGGGGTAGACACAGGGACCAAACTGTACACCCAAAAAACCCAGACCTTCTTTCTGGACATGAAATAAATATCCCAGCCAGCTGCAGAGAAGACAGCAGCCTGTGAAGACAGCATGGTGTTTGATGGGACACAAGTCCCCTACCCCTAACCTTAGACTGCAACACTGTCTCCCACAGAGGCTGCAAGACACAGAAACACACACTCACCCACGTGCAGGGCAATGGACAGTCCGATGGCCGACCACAGCGAGTAGCGTCCTCCTACCCACTAGGAGAGACAGAACAAGGTGCTGAGGGAGGGCCGGCACACCCCGCCCCCCACCTCCTGCCAGAAACCCTGTCCCTGGCACAGCTCTTGCACAAGTGCATCTCAGAGGGTCCTGGCCCAACCGACCTCCAGTAAGCAAGGCAGCAGGCAGGTGCTGGCGATGCATGGGAGGACCAACAGGGCAGACTACATGTGGAACTGACCACAGCCACAAGACAAACTGATGGCCTTACTTACCATGGTCTTCCCGAGAGGTCAGGCCCTGTTTCTGCAGAAACCAGCAGACCCAGAGCATCATACCTGTGCCAGGGCCCACCTCCTCAGACACGGACAGACCCAGGGCCTCATACCTGTGCCAGGTCCCACCTCCTCAGACATGGACAGACCCAGATCTCCATATTCATGCCAGATCCTACCTCTTCAGACATGGACAGACCCAGGGCCTCATAACTGTGCCAGGGCCCACCTCCTCAGACATGGACAGATCCAGAGCTGAATATTCATGCCACATCCTACCTCCTCAGACATGGACAGACCCAGGGCCTCATACCTGTGCCAGGGCCCACCTCCTCCGACATGGACAGATCCAGAGCTCAATATTCATGCCACATCCTACCTCCTCAGACATGGACAGACCCAGGGTCTCATACCTGTGCCCAGCCTTACCTCCTCATACACTGGCAGACCCAAGGCCTCATACCTGTGTACTTTAACCCTTTAGACATGGACAGACCAGATGCTCATACCTGTGCCAGATCCTACCTCCTGAAACACTGACAGACCCAGATTCTCATACCTGTGCAAGATCCTACCTCCTCAGATACTGAAAGACCCAGATCATCATACCTGTACGAGATCCTACCTCCTCAGACATGGACAGACCCAGATCCTCATACCAGGGCCAGACACTGCTTCTTCAGACACTAGAAGACACAGACCTTCCTACCAGGGCCAGACCCTACCTCTTCAGACACTGATAGATCCAGGTCCTCATTCCAGGGCCAGACCCTACCTCTTCAGATACTGATAGACCCAGATCCTCATACCAGGGCCAGATACTACTTCTTCAGACACTAGAAGACACAGACCTTCCTACCAGGGCCATATCCTACATCCTCAGACATGGACAGACCCAGATTTTCATACCAGGGCCTGATACTACCTCCTCAGACATGGACAGACCCAGATCCTCATATCAGGGCCATATCTTACCTCCTCAGACATGGACAGACCCAAATCCTCATGCCTGTAACAGATTCCTACCTCCTCAGACATGGACAGACCCAAATCCTCATGCCTGTAACAGATTCCTACCTCCTCAGACATGGACAGATCCAGATTTTCATACCATGGCCAGATCCTACCTCCTCAGATACTGCCAGATCCAGATCCTCATACAAGGGCCAGATCCTAACTCCTCAGACATGGACAGACCCAGATCCTCATGCCTGTAACAGATTCCTACCTCCTCAGACATGGACAGATCCAGATCCTCATACCTGTAACAGATTCCTACCTCCTCAGACATGGACAGACCCAGATCCTCATGCCTGTAACAGATTCCTACCTCCTCAGACATGGACAGACCCAAATCCTCATGCCTGTAACAGATTCCTACCTCCTCAGACATGGACAGATCCAGATCCTCATACCTGTACCAGATTCTTAACTCCTCAAATATTGAAAGACCCAGATCCACTAAACAGGACCAGATCCTACCTTATCAGATACGGAAAGACTCAGATCCTTATATCTGTGCCAGATCCTACCTCCTCAGATATGAATAGACCCAGATCCTCATACCAGGGCCAGGTTCTACCTCCTCACACATTAACAGTCCCAGATCCTCACACCCGGGCCAGATCTTACCTCCTCACACAGTGACAGACCCAGGTCCTCATGCCTCAAACAAATTCCTACCTCCTTAGTCATGGAGAGACCCAGATCCCGTATCTGTACCAGATTCCTATCTCCTCAGATACTGAAAGACCCAGATCCTCATACAGGGCCAGATCGTACCTTCTCAGACACTGAAAACCCAGATCCTTTTATCTGCACCAGACCCTACCTCCTCAGACATGGACAGACCCAGATCCTCACACCTGTACCAGATCTTACCACCTCAGACATGGACAGACCCAGATCTTCATACCTGCACCAGATCCTACCTCCTAAGACATGAACAGATCGAGATCCTCATATCTGTACCAGATTCCTACATCCTCAGACATAGACAGAATCAAATTCTCACAGCTGTCCCAGATTCTACCTCGTCAGACATTGACAGACTCAGATCCTGATACCAGGGCCAGATCCTACCTCCTCAGTTACTGACAGACCCAGATCCTCATAAGCCTCATACCAGGGCCAGATCCTACCTCCTCAGACATGGAGAGACCCAGATCCTCACACCTGTACCAGATTAATACCTCCTCAGACACTGACAAACCCAGATCCTTAAGCCAAGGCCAGATCTTACCTTCACAGACATTGAAAGACCCAGATCTTTATATCTGTGCCAGATCCTCCCTCCCCAGACATGGTCAGAGCCAGATCCTCATACTCATGCCAGATCCTACCTCCTCAGACATGGCGAGACCCAGATCCTCGTACCAGGGCCAGGTCCTACCTCCTCAGACATGGACAGACCCAGATCGTCATACCTGAACCAAATTTTACCTCCTCAGACACAGACAGGCCCAGATCCTAACACCTCCGCGAAATCCTACCTCCTCAGACACGGACAGGCCCAGATCCTAACACCTCCGCCAAATCCTACCTCCTCAGACACGGACAGGCCCAGATCCTAATACCTCCGCCAAATCCTACCTCCTCAGACACGGACAGGCCCAGATCCTAACACCTCCGCGAAATCCTACCTCCTCAGACACGGACAGGCCCAGATCCTAATACCTCCGCCAAATCCTACCTCCTCAGACACGGACAGGCCCAGATCCTAACACCTCCGCCAAATCCTACCTCCTCAGACATTGAAGACCCAGATCCTAATACCTCCGCCAAATCTTACCTCCTCAGACACTGACAGATGCAGATCCTCATATGTATACTAGATTCCTACCTCTTCATTGACAGACCCAGATCCTCATGCCTCTAACAGATTCCTACCTTCTTTGGACATGGAGAGACCCAGATCCCGATATCTGTACCAGATTAATTCGTCAGATATTGAAAGACCCAGATCCTCATACCAGGGTCAGATCCTACCTTCCCAGACACTGAAAGACCCAGATCCTTACATCTGCAACAGATCCTACCTCCTCAGACGTAGATGGACCCAGATCCTCACACCTATACCACATCCTGCCTCCTTAGACATTGAGAGACCCAGATCCTCACACGTGTACCAGATCCTACCTCCTCAGACATGGAGAGCCCAGATTCTCACAAGCCTCATCCCAGGGCCAGACCCTACCTTCTCAGAGATGGAGAGACCCAGATCCTCATACTAGGGCCAGATCCCACCTCCTCAGACACTGTCAGACTCAGATCCTCACACGTGTACCAGATCCTACATCTTCAGACCCTGACAAACCCAGATCCTCACACTTGTACCAGGTCTTACCTCCTCAGACATGGACACAGATCCTCACACGTGTACCAGATCCTACCTCTGCAGACATTGACAGACCCAGATCCTCACACGTGCACCAGATCCTACCTGTGCAGACATGGAGAGACACATATCCTCACACCTATACCAGATCCTACCTCCTCAGACATGGATGGACCCAGATCCTCACACCTGTACCAGATCCTACCTCCTCAGACATGGAGAGACCCAGATCCTCACAAGCCTCATACCAGGGCCAGGTCCTACCTTCTCAGACATGGACAGACCCAGATCCTCATACCTGTACCAGATCCTACCTCCTCAGACATGGAGAGACCAAGATCCTCATACCTGTACCAGATCCTACCTTTTCAGACATGGGGAGACCCAGATCTTCACACTTATACCAGATCCTACCTCCTCAGACATGGATGGATCCAGATCCTCACACCTGTACCAGATCCTACCTCCTCGGACATGGATGGACCCAGATCCTCACACCTGTACCAGATCCTACCTCCTCAGACATTGAGAGACCCAGATCCTCACACTTATACCAGATTCCACCTCCTCAGACATTCAGAGACCCAGATCCCCACACTTGTACCAGATCCTACCTCCTCAGACACTGACAGACCCAGATCCTCACACCTGTACCAGATCCTACCTTCTCAGACATGGAGAGACCCATATCCTCACAACTATACCAGATCGTACCTCCTCGGACATTGACAGACCCAGATCCTCGCACCTGTACCAGATCCGACTTCCTGAGATATGGAGAGCCCAGATTCTCACAAACCTCATTCCTACCTTCTCAGGCATGGAGAGACCCAGATAATCAAAAGCCTCCTACCAGGGCCAGATCCTACCTTCTCAGACATGGAGAGACCCAGATCCTCATACCAGGGCCAGATCCTACCTCCTCAGACACTAACAGACCCAGATCCTCACACGTGTACCAGATCCTACCTCCGCAGATATTGACAGACCCAGATCCTCACACCTGTACCAGATCCTACCTCTGCAGACATGGAGAGACACCTATCCTCACAACTACCAGATCCTACATCCTCAGACATTGAGAGACCCAGATCCTCACACGTGTACCAGATCCTACCTCCTCAGACACTGACACTCAGATCCTCAAACTTGTACCAGATCCTACCTCTTCAGACCCCGACAAACCCAGATCCTCATACTTGTACCAGGTCGTACCTCCTCAGACATGGATGGACACAGATCCTCACACGTGCACCAGATCCTACCTCCGCAGATATTGACAGACTCAGATCCTCACACCTGTAGCAGATCCTACCTCTGCAGACATGGAGAGACCCAGATCCTCACAAGCCTCATACCAGAGCCCGGTCCTACCTTCTCAGACATGGAGAGATCCAGATCCTACCTCCTCAGACATGGAGAGACC